AATAAGTAGATAGATGCATAGTTAAAAATGGACAGAAGATCCAAAAAGGCATGTTTCCAAAGAAGACATATAGATGGCTAATGGCAAATGAAAAAGATGCTCAACATCACTAACCATCAACTAAATACAAATCAAAACCACGAGATATCACCTCACACCTTTTAGAATGACTATTATCAAAAAGACAAGAAATAAGTGTTGGCAAGGATATGGAGAAAAGGGAACTCTCCTGCGCTGTTGGTGGGAATGTAATTTGGTGCAGCCACTATAGAATACAGTATAGAACTACTGTATGACCCAGCAATTCCACTTCTGGGTATCTATCTGAAGACAATGAAAACACTGATTCAAAAAATATATCCACCACTGTGTTCAATGCAGCGTTGTTCACAATATGGAAACAATCTAAGTGTTGATTTACGGATAAATGGGAAAAAATTATATATACATACACATATATATGTGTGTATATGTGTGTGTGTGTGTGTGTATAATATACAACTCAGTAAATAAAAGAATGAAATTATTCAGCCATAAAAAAGAATGAAATCTTCCCATCTGTAAAAACATAGATGAACCTTTAGGCATTATGCTAAGTGAAATAAGTCAGAGAGAGAAAAACAAGTATCGTATGATCTCACTTATATGTGTAATATAAAAAAAACACACAAAGTAAATTCATAGATGCAGAGAACAGACTGGTGGTTGTGGGAAGGGGGATGGGTGAAGGGAATCAAAAGGTACAAAATTTCAGCTATAAAATAAGTCATAGGGATGTAAATGTACAGCATGATGACTATGGTTAATACTATATTGCATATTTGAAAGTTGCTAAGAGAGTAGATCTTAAAAGTCCTCATCATGAGAGAAAAAAGAAAATTAATTTTGTAACTGTGGTGATCATTTAACAATGTATACAACATTAAGTCATTCTGTTGTACATCTGAAACTAATATAACGTTATATGTCAATTATACCTCAATAAAAAATATTTCACCACTGTTTCACCACTGTTCTCTATCCCTTGCTATACCTAATCACAGGTCCTTACCAGTGGACAGCAGAACAAGACTTCTCAACTAATGATGAAGATTCATCTGTCCCAGGATGAGGAAAAGGTTAGGGATTGTTGGGATTCCCATGATCTGGAGCCACAGATAAAGGATGTGACTGATGGGGGCAGGAAAGCCTGAAAGCCTGAAAGCCAGGGTGGGAATCTTTCTTAACAGCCAAGGATTCCCTCCACTCGATCCTATCCTACCCCTAACAACGAATTTAAAAAGACTGGGAATTAAAAAGTAGAAGGTGCCTTATCAGTCCTGTTCATCATTAGATCTATAGGGTCTTGCATAGCACCTGACCTACCTTAAATGAGTAAAGCTTTGCTAAATGAAGGAGCTGAGGGTCCCCAGTTCAGCAGGGGTCCAGCACAGCCACTCTGGGTTAGGGTCTGAGTACATGGGGTAAGGAAGAGGGGCTTTGTGCCCCGTGTGCTGTGGCAGTTCTTGACCTGGAGACTCCATCCCCTTCAACCTAGGCTTTATTCTTTGTTGTTTGTTTTGGGGAGTGGGGAGTAATTTATTTTTTCTTAGATTCCTAGTGAACATCATATCTTCTTTTTTTCCCTACAAAAAGCTTTCTTGTTTCTGTTTGGTCCAATGCATGGGAGAGGTCTCCACGGTGGTTAAAAGAATGGCTAGTGTTTTGGGGGAGAGGCTCAAGCAAAAGTCAGACACAAGGGGAATGCAGAGGGGCCCCTCAAAGTCCTCTGGGCTCCAAAGGCTCCTAGTCGTGCTTGGGGGTGAGCCTTTTGAAGAGATACTTGCCCAGCCCAGCCTGGGGGCCAGCCAGCTTGCAGAGGTCAGGTGGTCACTCATTTCTTTATGAGTTTCACCTCCTCAATCCAGGAGGTGGTTCTTCAGGAAGTCACAGAGATGAGGGTCTGTGCAGGTAGAACCCAGGGCATGCAGATCCAAAAGGGCCTGGTTCAGATTCCTCCCCAAGGCTATGGCTGCTTCCATGGCATCCTGAGCTTTGCCCCACTCGTCCTGGGAAGGATTCAGCATGTTCTGGAAGAGAATGAGGCCACTGCACTGGTTTTGCATCTTTAAGAGATGCTCAGCACCCTCGCACTTCTTCTCCTTCAACTCGTGGAAGAAGTGGCCAACACCCTCCAGAACCACATCATCACAGTTGAAATAAAAGCCCAGAGAGAGGTAGGTGTAGGAGTCCCGCAGATGCAGCTTGGCCAGGTGGTTGATGGCAGCCTCCACCTCAGTGGCATAATTCTGACGAATTTGGGAGCTCACAGTTGTCGGCAATAAGGAGTTAAGGTCGAAAAACAGTGTTGGCTGGTCGCAAAGGCTGAGGATGGCTGAGGTGGTTCCGAAGGTGGTGACTGGAAAAGAGGTTGGAGAGTGGTTGGAGGCTGGAAAAAGTGGGGTCCCTGGGTCTGTTCTGTCCAAACACTGTTGAAACAAGAGACAGATCCAGGACTGCCGAAGGCACTGATGAACATCGTATCTTAAACGGAAGAGAGCTGTCCATACCCAGGCCAGGACAGTTGGGCAATCACAATTTCTTCATTAATAAAATGAATTTAGACTATGTAATTTCTAAAATCCCTCCCAGCCCCAAATTTCTATGATTCTAAATAAACTAAAACTTAAGAGGGGAAAATAGAACATTCATTCAACAGATAGGTGTTACTATGACTTTGTGCTAAAAACAAGGAATACAAAATGAGTAAGGCACCCTGGCTGGTGTGGCTCAGTTGGTTGAGCATCATCCTGTGCACTGAAAGGTTGCTGGTTCAATTTCTGGTCAGGGCACATACCCAGGTTGCAGGTTTGATCCCTGGTCAGGGTACGTATGAGGCAACTGAATGATGTTTCTCTCTGTCTCTCCCCTTCTCCCTTCCTGTCTCTTTAAAATCAATTTAATAACGTATTTAGAACAAAACAAATCAAAATGAATAAGGCAGTCTGCCCTTGAGTAGCATAAAGCCAAGTGAGAGGATAAACACTAAGTACTTAGAATACTATGTAAGCTTTGTAAGGTTACATTTCTTGAGAGGCAAGTGCCATTCCAAGCACTTGACAATTTAACCTCACAATACTATTAGTTACTATAATCGTTCCCATTTCTCAGATAAAGAAACTGAGACATAAGGAGGTTAAATAATTTGACAGTGATACAGCAAATAATCTGGATTCAGGGTCCATGTTCAATCACATAGCAATGAACTGAGCACTAATGATAGGGATTTAGGAAGGGAATGGATGAGGGCACTCAGACTCTTTTTTGCTACAAGTTCCTGGAGATTTTCTAACATTGAATGGGTTTCGATCACATTTTCTTTGGCCTTTGGTAAGGTCCCCATCAGTTTAACAGGCAGCATAGCCATGAGAAAAGCCATTTCTTTGGAACCCACAAGGAGTTGGGTTCAAATTCCAGCTTTAACCACTTAAGTAGTAAACTTGACCAAATCTAAGCCTCACTGCATAACAGGACTAACAACCAGCTTCATTGGGAGGTCAGGAGAATTAAATATTAAGTTAACCATATGAAGTTGCTGTTTCTGGAGGTCAAAACAAGTGGATTCTAATGAAATAGCATTCCTTTGTGTCTCTAATTTTTAAAAAACTCCAGCTCTTGCCCAGCTGGCGTGGCTCAGCGGTTGAGCAATCGACCTATGATCCAGGAGATCCAGGTTCGATATCCAGTAAGGGCACATGCACAGGTTTTGGGCTCAATCCCCAGCAGGGGGCGTGCAGGAGACAGCCAATCAATGACTCATCGATGTTTCTATCTCTCCCTCTCCCTCTCTCTGAAATCAATAAAGATATATTTAAAAAAAAAAAAAAAATCTAGTCTGTTGTCCAAGATATCTGTCAGGGAAGCTTTGAAACCTATAGGGAGGAGAAGGGTATAAAACCTTGAACCCCACAGACTAGTTGAGTACCTGCTTGTGCTGCATGCCAAGTGTATTTTTTAAAAGATTTGCTTGTTGCCCGGCCAGGCGTGGCTCAGCAGTTGAGCATCGACCTAGTATCCAGGCGATTGGGGTTCGATTCCGGTCAGGACACATGTCCGGGTTGCAGGCTAGGCAGCTGATCAATGACTCATCATTGATGTTTCTCTCTCTCTCTCTCTCCCCCTCTCCTTTCCTCTCTCTGAGATCAATAAAGATATATTAAAACAAACCAAAAAAAAAGATTTGCTTGTTTTGCTTCCTTAATAAATTCCCTTGCTTTGCTTCAACACTAATGTCTGTCATTCGTGTGAAATCTTTGAGCTGACAAAAGCCCTGACAGGAGCCAAGGAGGGGACAGCTTCTTCCCCGCCCCCCAGACTGTCAGGTAACACCATGGCAGCTCCATGCCCTACCTACTACACACAGACTCAGCCCATGCACTTTCACCCTTCTGTCTACAGACTGTTTTACCCTTGTTTGTCGCTGCTGTAGGAAGGTTAGTGACGTTGGTTCCATTTTTAAATGTGGAATCAGGCCTACAGAGGGTTTGGCCTCACCTAAGGTCTCAGACACCACCTGGTGGGTTTGGACTTAGATAAGCCCTGGCACTTACGTGACCTCCGCAAGGTCCTTGAACCTCTCTCTGGACTGTCCTTTTCTGGAGAAAAGCGCTAATACGTCCCTTTCTCACACAGTTCTTTTCCGTTCAGCACAGGCTCTCCCGGCCCGCCCTTGGGGGCTCTGGCTGTAGCAGTATGATCCGCGACACACTGCATAGAGCACAGGCGAGCAGGGGCACACCGCGACCCCCCATTAATATCAATATTTGATTTTCACTAGACAGCACTGGCTCGGCAGTTCCGGGTTCAGACCAACTACAAGGACCACAAAGCGCCAAAAAGGAGAGACTGAACCTACCCGGCCCCTGAAGAGCAAAATGGCTGGGCCACGCTCTCGGTAGGCGGGGCCGGAAGCTCTGCGGCTCCGGCCCGCGCCTGCGCACCACCATCTGGCTCAAAGACAGCACCTCCCTCCCGGCTGACTAGTTAGCCCCTAGGCGGGGCTTGGCGAGGCCGCGGCGACTGAGGAGGCCATGGCGACCGAGGAGCCCTGCGGGCAGGCGGCGCGGGCGTCTACCCCGGGACCCTGGCCCGGCGGGGTCCTGGGCCACATGGCACGAGCTGCGGGGCCGCCTTCCGGGCGAAGCGGCCGTGGAGTCGCCCGATTGGGGGAACGGACCCCGGCGGCTGTGGAGAAGCGGGGGCCGTACATGGTGATGCGTGGGCCTCCCATTCAGGCCAAGCTGCGTGAGTGCGGCCCGATGGGGTCTCTGCCTGGGCGGGCTGCTGTGTCCCCCGGGCGGGCTCCAGAGCCTCGCTGCGGCGACCCCCGAGAGGCACCTCCAGCGCGCTCCCGTTCCCGAAAATCTGTTCGAGAAGAGCGGGTTCCTGGCGTTTGGGAGAAACCGCGGAGTGGGGAAGACCCCGCTAACCTGGGCTCTTTGACTTCCAGAGAAACACCGGGACCTGGCCAAGGCCGTTCTGCGGAGGAAAGGCATGCTGGGGGCCTCGCTGAACCGCCCCGACGCTTCAGGGAAAAGGTGTCAGCAGGCGCCACCTCCTCTGTGCAGACAGTTTTCCGAGAAGGCCTTAGTCCTGGGGCTGGGAGACGGGGGACTCACGTTTAAGGCCCAGCTAGGGATTCCCCTGACGCCAACCTGTCAGGTTCACTATTTTTTATTTTTTTAAAAATCCTCACCCGAGGATATTTTTTCCATTGTTTTTCAGAGAGAGTGGAAGAGAGAGAGAGAAACATTGATGTAAGAGAAACACATCAATTGATTGCCTCCCGCATGCACCCCAAGGGGTCAGGGAATAGAACATGCAGCCGAGGTACCTGCCCTTAGCCAGAATCGAACCTGGGACCCTTCAGTACGAGGACCGAGGCTCTAACCAGAGCCAAACCGGCCAGGGCCCGATTCACAATTTTAAAATAGGAAAGGGACCGACTTTTTTTTTTTCTTTAAGAATGTGATGGTGTCAGGGCAAGGGTTTTAGAGTAAGTTTTGTCAGGGCATAAAATCCGTCACTAAGTTAGGGAGGAGCATAATGGCTGGGTCCCCAGAAGGGAAGATGGACAACAGTGTGGGACAAGCCAATGCTGTCCTGATTGATGAAAGTTTGGCTTTTCCTCAGTAAGAGTAGGAGGAGTGGTATGGGGAAGTGCATATTCTGAGGAGCTGTAGCCAGATACATAGCTGGTGGTGGTGGCTGTGTGACCAGGTAGAAGACAAGTCAGGAGTAGTGCAGTTAGTTCTTTTAACATAAGAGCAAGGCTTTTGGCTTTCCCTGTAAATGCTGGTGCTTCATCTGTACTTGATCTCTTCTATCTTCCCTCAGGTCAGTGAAGTTTAACAAGGGCTATACTCCTCTTAGTCAGAATCCAGATGAAAACCTGGTGTCCCTCAACTCGGACAGGTGAGTTCTCCCCTTGGAAATACCCCTTGGGGAGTGACTTGGGTAAAACTGCAGATTGCTTGGTGCCTTCGCTTGTTCCCTGCCTCTTCCAAGACCCTTCACGCATGTTCCAGGGCTGTCTTCTTTGGAGCACTATTCCATCCCAAGATTGCTTGCCTAGAGGATTCCGAGGATTCATGCTGCTCTTGGATTTGCAGCACCAGCCTTGTCTGGGGAAACCATCCTGCCCTCTTGTGTCTTGCACTGTTAGTGACAGTGACCTTGTCCCTGCTGGAGCCTTTGAAGGAACCATTTGTACTCACAGCTAATTCTGGGCTTTACTTCATAACTCCTGCAGACCCCCTTGCATGCTTTTCACCTTGCCATTTGCAGCTGTGCTCCATAGGTATCCTCCTGAATTGACTCTCTTCCTCTTCTCCTAGTGATGGGGAGCTGGAATCCAGATACTCCTCCGGGTATTCCTCTGCAGAGGCAAGTTCAGAGTGCCTTCCTGCGCGGGGCCAGGCATCAGGCAGTGTTATCACCACTGCCAAATGCTTGTCGAGTGCCTGTTGTATGCACGGCACTGTGCCAGACATCTGGTTGGTTCTCCAATCTTCTACTCTGTCCTCTTCCCACAGCAGAGGTATAGGTGTCTGAGAAGGGCTTGTTGAAAATCCAGGAGCCCATAGACCCTTAGAGCTGGAAACAACTTCACAAGTCTTCTAGTCGAGGCCACCACTGAGAAAAGGAATGCTCTAGGTCAGGGATGGGGAACCTTTTTTCTGCCAAGGGCCATTTGGATATTTATAACATCATTCACAGGCCATACAAAATTATCAACTTAAAAATTAGCTATGAAAAAAGCTCCTAGATTTATTAAATTTCAAGTCCCGCCTGCGGTTGCGTGGGCAAGGCCAGACATTTCCCACTCCTGCTCTAGATAAATCCCAGCTAAGTGTTTACCAGCCTCTGCTTGGTTGCTTCTTATATATTTATAGATTTCAGAGAGAGGAAGGGAGAAGGAGAGAAAGAAACATCAATGAGTGTCATTGATTGACTGCCTCCTACATGCCCCCTGCTGGGGATTGGGCCTGAAACCCAGGCATGTGCCCTGATGGGGAATCGAACCTCTATCTCCTGGATCATAGGTCAGTGCTCAACCACTGAGCCATGCTGGCAAGGAACTTGGTTGCTTCTTGTAATCAGGTACTCACTACCTCCAAGAAACCTTGCTGTCCGCCCTCTCTCCAACACATATGCCCAATTCCTTCTTCAGGTAGCTCTTTGAGCTAAGTCTTCCTTATTTATTTGAAATGTCTTCTGCAGCCTGGACTGGGTGGTCACACAGTAATTCAAGTCTCCCTTTTTTTTTTTTTTTTATCTAAGATCAGCATTCCTGTCCCTCCCCTGGCCATCCTCCACCAAGCTTGCTTTCTTCCAGGCCAAACAACTTCTGTTCCTTCAGTTGTTCCATCTATGGGAACTGAGACTGAGATACTCCTGGGCCAGCCTTTTGGATATGTTTCCAGAGTGATTGTCCCAGACAGAAACAGGATATAAAGTTGTGGCATGTGCCTTTGACAGAAGTGAAGTTCTGGGGACATAACTGTACACCACTGGTATTTCTTCCTTATTCTCCTGGAAACTGTTGGCTACCCCCAAGTTTCTGCCAAAGAGAATAGGGGCAGTTTATAAACTGTATCCTCCTTGTATATCTGGGTGCCTAAAATTGTTAAAACTAAGAAAAGAAAATTAGCCAGGAGCCAGAGAAAGCCCTACACTGTTCCCAGTCTGACTTTCCTTCTGCTCAGAGGAACTGGTAAAGCCATGCTGACAGGTTCCACTTTGCAAGGAAGGAGCTCTGCTGGCATCGAAGAACAATATGTCTAACTGGCAGTGCAGACAAAGCTGCTCTTCACCCTGTTCTACTGTAATTCATATTTCTTTACTGTTCTACCCCATCGTTCTCGTATCGTTATCCCATATTTTTCAGCCTTCATTGGGACCAGTCTGGGTTCCCAGTGAGAATGGTCAAAGCATTGATTTTCAAACATATTCTGGAATCTGGTATTTACATCAGATTCCTCAGTATTCTTTAGTGAGAGCAGCTCCTCTGGGGGTTTGTGACAGTGCAGCCTGGACAGTACTGGCTCGTGCTCTTGGGTGCTCCTCACTGCTGGCTGAAGCACAAGTAGGAAAAGCTGGCATTTCTATCTGCAGTCCCAGAATGTATGGGGTTGACCTGAGGGTGGAGAATGGACAAGAAGCTATGTTAAGGGAATGTGTGTCTGCATTTTGGGCAGCAGTCATTTCTGCTTTGCAGTCTGGCTTATAGTTTTCTCTCCTGCTCTTAGCAGGTGAACCAGGATGTGAGCCGCCAGCTGCTCCAGGATGGGTATCACCTGGATGAGATTCCAGATGATGAGGACTTGGACCTCATTCCCCCCAAGCCTATGGCCTCCTCGACGTGCTCCTGCTGTTGGTGCTGTCTTGGGGACTCTTTCTCCTGTACCCTCCAATAGACATAAGCCCCTAAGTGGGCCCTGCTTGCCGTGCCTATGGAGTCCTTTGGGCTCTTCATAGGTCACAGACTGCAGTGGGAACTGCTGTCAGCCCCAGAATCACTTGAAGTACTGGCCTGGGAAGTCAGTTACCTGCAGTTACCCCTTACCTGGTGCTTCTCAGGCCAGAGGCCCCCACCTGGGTGATAGGGTAGTATGTGGAATTCTGTAGTTTTCCTCTGCTGTTGGAGCAGAGTTTGGTAAAAAAACCACTTTAATAAGGGCAGAAATAGAAGAATTCTGGGAAAAGGGCTTATGTGCCCAAGTTGTGCTGGATGGTGGTGTGCGGAGGCAGAAAATTTGAATATGTGGCTTATAGCTGGGAATCTTTGAAAAAGAACTATATGGGACCAGTTCACGAAATTTCTTAAGCTCTTCTCCTCTTCCTAGCTCCAAGACAGGTTTGCCTTTCAAGAAAGCATAAAGCTTTGGCCTTCTGGTTGTGCCTGACTATTGCAGGGAGGTCAGCAGCTTGCTTGATGACATAGCAGGTTCAAGGCTTCCAGAATCCCTGAACCCAGAGCATCCCCAACTGTTCCAGCTGGGTAGGTTTAGTGACTCTGGTCAGCCCTAGTTAGAGAAAAACTGCTCCACTATGTACATATTTATTTATTTGTTGTTCCTTGGTTTCCATTCTCCACCTTGGTCTTAGCTAGTTTCTTCTCCATCCAGTCTCAGAAGACTGCAGATTTTGGTTACCAGCAGAGGGAGCTGCAGAGAGCATTCAAGTGTCTTCCTATTTAATAGCCTTGTAAACTTGACAAGCATACTGGCTAAGCTGTGTGTGGTCTCTGACATAGATGGAGGCTCATAAACAAGATCAGGAGTAGAGACTTGTGCCAGCTCCCAAAGCCCCTGCCTAAGGAGATAATCTGCCATTGCAGAGGGCCTCCTTTCACCCCATTCCATTGTGTCCAGCTGTCCAGATTCCTCTGACCACAGCATAGGCATCACAATGGATACTCAGGATTGGACTTTTTACAGTAAACGTTTGCGTGCAACACAGCCTCTCAGCCCCCAGTGTGAACACAGCAAAGACAGCATAATCCCCCCATGACCCCTACTAGACAGCATATCTTGCTAGACCACACCACACCTCTCCCTAGAATTTAGTTTGTGCTTTTGTTCGTTTTGCCTTACCTAGAACTGTGGTGAGGACTGAATGGGAGTGGACAGGGTTCCCAGCCCAAGGGGCATGGTAGTCAGGGTTGGAGTGTGGGCCCCACATGGGAAAGTGCCTGGTCTCTTGACTTATTTGATGCTCTATAACCACTAGGTATATATGAGGGATGGTGTGGACTCTTGCTTGCTCTAATACTATGTGAGGTGATTGAAATACTGAGAATGTCAGGTTAAAAGGACATATCTTAGAAAGTAGAGAGGAATACAGTATCCAGGGGGCTGGTGCCCCACATTCTGAGCACTTTGTGCAAATGCTTGCAGGGCGTGAGGACACTCCTTTCTGAACCCTTTGCCCACCCACAGGCCTTTTTGGTTTCTGCAGAGGTGGAGAAATGTACACAGAGGGTTCAATATAGGACAGTGTAGACAGTGGTAACAGAAAACCCAGTGGGGCCAGAAAGTGGCTGTGGCAACCAAGTGTGGGACAGTTTTCTGTGGGGCAGGTGGTTAGGACAGTGGATAGAGCAGCCTAAGCATTCGGCAGCTGTCGGTGCTGAGGGTGGCAACAGGACCCCAAGATCAAGGCGCTCTGGGTGATTGTTGCTATTTGGCTGTGGCTGTCCCTGAAGATGATAGTATGTTCCAGAGCTGGTTGACCCTGAGCGGAAGGCATTACCTTTGTGGGAAAAGTTGCAGGAAACTAAAATGGGGGACAGTGTGCAGTGAGGTAGGATTTCTGGAAATGGTCAGTTGTTTGGGGCCAGAAGCTAAAATATCACCAAAAAGCACCAAGATGCCAGAGCTAAACTGCCTTAATTGAGAGTGTTGGGTGTTCTGTAGGTAAGTACCCTGGGGACAGGTGTATTCAGGCTAACGTCACAGATGGGAGAGGTACTGTATGGTGTTTAGAATACTCTACAGAACTCTTGGCTTAGACTTCTACAGCTTTGTAAGTTTATAATAAATACAGTCATGCTAGTTGAGCTGTCTCTGTTGCAATAGGATTTTTCAGAAAGGCCCAGGCCGCAGTCGTTGCCCCTTCTGAATTCTGAAATAAATAAAGAGCCTAATAGCCCCAACTGTGACCATTCCTCCTCGGACCTCCTTTGTGCTCTTCCCAGTGGGCTTCATTTTCAGGCCTGCTTCACTAGAGGCCATGGATGGAATCAGCCTTTACACATCACTTCTCTTTAGAATGAGTTCCCTTTAGCAGACCCTTCTTTCCCAGGTTTTTTTTTTTTTAAACCAAGGAAATTTGGGGCCAAAAAAAAACCCAGAACAGATTGACCAGAATTTTTTGGAGATAGTTTTCTAGAATTGAGTTGAACAGGGAGTCTAGTATGGGCAACAGCCCAGAAAGATCCTTTTGTGAGAGTCCAAACCCTTACCCCACAAAGGAAGGAACCAATAGCTTGGATCTCTGCTTAGTCTGGGGTGATAAGACCTAAGCCTGTTGACTGAATGTGCTCCATAGTAGTAGCTAACAAACCTTCCCTCTGAAGGGCCAGTCAGTACTTTGACTTTGCAGGCTGCACAGTCTGACATATCAACTCAACTCTGTAGCCTGAGAGCAGGCAAGGCAGTATGTAAATGGTAGGTGTGCCCAAACCCAGTCTGCTGATCCCAGCCTAAAGGCCAGCTCAAACCCTCAGAAGAATCTTGCTTTTTAGACCCACCTTTCCACTGTCTGCAGGGCTGGAAGGCCCAAGGCCTGCCTTGCAAGCTCTGCATCTGAGGCTGAAGCTGGTTCCTTCTCCCACACTGTCCTATAAAAAGCTCGAGTCCAGCCTACCCACTTCAGGGACTGGACAGCCAAACATTCAGTGTCTTTCACGCCACAGCCTCAACACAGGTGATCTTTATTTTTTTATTTTTACACAAGTGATCTTTAATTACTTGACAAAGCAAGAGGGTAACAAGGAACAATGCTGGTCCACAGGCCTACCCTTTCACTCCTCTGCTACTGAAGAAGTTGGCAGTCCCAGGGCCAGAACCCTGTTCTTTTGCTGTAACTGGTGCTAAGCTAATCATAGATTTCACCAGCCTGTCTAATACTGTAGGTGAAACAGCTGCTCTCTCCTGCACTGAGTCAGGTCAATGGTGAGACTACAAATGGAATGTTGGCCCTTAGTCCTCACATGGGTCCCTCCTCCCAGGAAGATTGTTCAGTCTAGGCCTGCTCAGGCTTCACTACCTTTGAGGTCATTGCTCTATATTAGCTCTTCTAGGAAGTACTTAGAGTCCAGAGCAGGGAAGGAATTTGAGCTGGGCCTAAGGAGGTAAGGCTGACCCGGACACGATGACTGGGCAGGAGAGCCAGGATGGCTATGGCTTCTACAGCAGACAGCAAGCACGGAATATCAGCAGGTCCTCAGGCACAGTGAGCTCCAGTGAGACACTCTCATTGGCCCCAATGAAGAGCACCCCACCACGCTGCAGGGGGATTATTGCCTGGGCTGTGGGAGTCCTGGCTGTCACTGTGCCCTGCACCATCAGGAGGATGCTGGCGGAGTCCAGTGTCAAGATCTTATACTCAGTGACTGAGCCAGGGACCTGGGCGGGAAGAAACAAAAGAATGGTGTAGCTCAGACTGCTCCTACAGCTCACAGGTACAGGACAACCTGAAGGGCCACCTTTTCTCCCACTGCTCAGGCTCTTGTCAGGATGGAGGCCTACATATGGTCCCTGGTACAGAGGAGTGGGCAGGCCCTTTGGCCATCTCTCACCAAATGAACTTAACAAGAAAGGAAACTCAGCCCAAAGTATAGTCCACATTGTGGCCCTTGCCAGGGTTTTTCATGCCCCACAAAAGATGCCCACCATGGCCCCTACTCACCTCCATCTTCATAACAGTGAAATCTGGTACGGGTGGGTCATAGAGAGAAAGGTAGGGGTCTTCCTGACTCAACTTTGGAGAAAAGAGCCTGTCCTTGCTGGAGCTGGGGGTATAGCTGAGCATTTCACACAGAGTTGGCACATCAATGAACTTGGATGTCAGGCCAGCACGTACTGTGTTGTCTGAACACGCCATGCACTCCACACAGTCTGGGGACAGAGAATTGTCATGTGCTAAGCTGATGAAGGATGCCTTGGGTTTTGGCTGCAAGGCTGGTCCTTCTAACTTGAGCTCCACAAACCCGCGGCAGTTAAAAATGTGTGAATTGCATTCTCTGGGAGAATGAGCTAAAATATCAGGCACCAAAAACAGGTGATAGTTCACCCGCTATTGTCAGAGGTAGTCATCTTCACCCTTGGGGAGCCCCAACCCTCCTCAGACTCTAATTCTCCCACAAAATCTTGTCCATGAATGGATATATGGCCAAAAGTCAAAATGCAGCCACCCTTCTATGGCAACATGTATTTTAATGTAAAATCTCTGGGTTGATAAGGCAAACATGAAGGCAGTGATGCAGGGGAGAGAACAGACTTGATCCAATATACCCTAGGTTCAAATTGTGGTTCCTACACATTCACAGGGTTTCACATGAAAGTATCATGACCTCATGGAGTTGGTGTGACAATTCAAGCAGCATCTGACAACAACCTGGCATTCATCATCCCTACTGGCCTCTTCCCTGCTGAACCCTAGAACCCTGGAAAGTCAAAGCTGAATAGGACCTTAAAGGTCTTCTCAACCACCCTCTCTATCATTTGTCTGGATGGGGAAACAGGGCCCAAGGGGAATAGCAGTGGGGCTCACTGCTGAAATGTGGCTCACCTCCTTTCAGGTAGGCATGGGGCACATTGGCCTCCAGAAACATGGCTTCCCCCGGCTTCAGGGTAAGCAGGTTCAGGAAGTAGATGGCAAAACATCCGACATCACCTGGATACTGCTGGTGCAGCTGCAGCAAGAGCTCCCCACAGATGTCTTCCATATTTTCGGCAGCCACTGAGGGTCACAGAGCACCCCAAGGCCACTTAGGAGCACTCAGTGATAATTCACAGCCCCACCTTAGCCAGGGAGTCCTGGGGAAGTACCTGTCCACAAGAATCCAAACTGGTGGGCATGTCCTCCCAGCCACATGCCCAACCTCCTGAAGACCAGCCTTCCTTCTAGCCTGCACAGATGCCATTTTTCCCGTCTGTATGCCACTACACTAGGCATTACAAAAACAGTGTGAAAGGAAACAAGATGGCGTAGGTAACAGCTGCACCCGCCGCCTCCCACAACCACATCAAAATTATAACTAAAATACAAAACCATCAAGCAGAACTTCCTGAAATCTGGCTGAATAGAAGCCCTACAACAGGGAACTGAAGAAGCACCAAGAACAGTAAGAGGGGTGGAGACACGAAGACGAGGGTGGATCAAGGCTGAATCCCAGAGACTCGGCCACGGGCCCACACTCGGTGCTGCAGTTTAAACCTGGGAGGGACATCTTGGTGGTGGAGGTTTCCCAGAGGAGTGAGGGGTCCCAGCCCCACATCAGGCCCTCCAGCCCAGGACTCCAGGGCCGGGAAGAGAAATCCCCACAACTTCGGGCTGTAAAAACCAGTGGGGACTGTGGCTGAGGAGCACAGGCTGCAGAAGTCCCAGGCGTTCCTCTTAAAGGGCCTGTACACAGACTCACTCCCTCTGAGCCCCAGCACTGTGCAGCAGCTTGAAAGGAACCTGGGACACTTGGGGAGGAACTAACCTGCCTGATATTGGGGCGAGAGGTGGAGGGGCAGCATTCTCCTGGCAGAGGTCATTGCTCCTTTGGCAAGCCCTCCCCACATAGAGGCTGCTGGAAGGCACCATATTTGAATCTCCAGCACCTGACTCACACTTTTCACCACGGCCTGGAGATTCCCAGAGACCCCCACCCCTCCATACCTGCAAGCTCATCTAAACCATTTACAGTGGCTTTTCTATGCAAGTGGCCTCTTGAGCCTTATGCTTAGGACTTTCCTAAAATCTCTCAAACAAGCAGCAGCGTGCCCCATGTGACTTGATAAGTGGCTCCAGGCCTGGCACTAGAGGAAGCCTGCATGGCTCAGTTTGGCCTCTCCTGGATACCACCAAGCCCAGCACAAGTAGCAGCAAACTACGGTTAGCTGTGTAGCNTTTGCTGTGTAGCTCATGCTGGGTGGCCCTGGGCAAGGCACTGGCAGAGGCTGACTTTGCACCTCCCAGGAGGCCCCAGAGACAGTGCACCTGGTGGTAAGACTCAACCACGCTAGATAATAATCCTACCACAGCCATGAGTGACACTCAAGGAGTGCACTTGGTGAGCACCAAAGCTCCACTGAAGTAAATCCTGCTTCATAAGGGGGGTCTGCAGCACAGCAGCTGTTTGGCTATAGTTGCAGCTGGTCCTCACAGCTGATTGGTCTGGGGGTGAATTCCTCCCAGTGACGCCAACAGTACCCAAGGCTTAACTACAACAGGACAGTACACACAGCCCACACAGGGGAGCACCTAGAAGGCCCAGCTCAGGTGACTAGGGAGGCTGAGCCACTGAACCCTGCAGGATGCCTACTACACAAAGCCACTCTACAAATTCCAGGAGACATAGCAGCTCTACCTAATACATAGAAACAAACACCTAGAAGCAGCCAAAATGCGGAGGCAAAGAAAGATGACACAAAGAACAGAAGAAATCTCTAGAAGAACTAAATGAAATAGATCCAAGCAAGCTAACAGATACAGAGTTCAGAATTTTGTTTATAAGGATGCTCAAGCATATTATGAAAACAACTGAGAAAACAGATGACATAATAAATGCCAATTTGAAATGAAGGCTACATGAACTGAAATGAAGAATAATTTACAGGGAATCAACAGTAGAGTAGAGGACGCTGAGAATCAAATCAGCAATTTGGAACATGAGGAAACAAAAAACACCCAACCAGAAGAGCAAAAAGAAAAAAGAATCCAGAAATATGAAGATAGTATAAGGAGCCTCTGGGACAACTTCAAGAGGCCCAACATTAGTATTATTCGGGTGCCAGAAGGGAAAGAAAGAGCAAGCAAGAAACTGAAAACCTATTTGAAAAAAATAATTACAGAAAATCTCCCTTACCTGGGGAAAGAAATAGACTTACAAGTCCAGAGAGTACAGAGGGTCCCAAACAAGAGGAACCCAAAGAGGCCCACAGCAAGACACATCATAATTAAAATGCCAAAGGTTAAAGACAAAGAGAGAATCTTAAAAGCAGCAAGAGAAAAGCAGTTAGTTACCTACAAGGGAGCACCCATACGATTGTCAGCTGATTTCTCAACAGAAATTTTGCAGGCCAGAAGGGAGTGACAAGAAATACTCAAAGTGATGAAAAACATGGAACTACAACCAAGATTGCTCTACCCAGCAAAGCTATCATTTAGAATTGAAGGTCAGATAAAGAGCTTCTCAGACAAGGAAAATCTAAAAGAGTTCATCACCACCAGACCAGCACTACAGAAAATGTTGAAGGATCTTCTTTAAGAAGAAGCTAATGGCCCGGCCAGGCGTGGCTCAGCGGTTGAGCATCGACCCAGGATCCAGGCCATCAGGGTTTAATTCCCGGTCAGGGCACATGCCTGGGTTGCTGGCTCGATCCCCAGGAGGCGGCCGATCCATGACTCTCTCATATTTCTATCTCTCTCTCTCCCTCTCCTTTCCTCTCTATGAAATCAATAAAGATATATTTAAAAAAAAAGAAAAAAAAAAGAAGCAGCTAATGAACAAAACAATCTGACGAACTAAATAGATCCAGAGACATTGACGCATGCAACAGATGATCATATTTCAGAGGGAAGAGGGAGGGGGGTGGAGGGTGGGAAGAGATTAACCAAAGAAGTTATATGCATATAAGCATAACCCATGGACACAGTCAATAACGGGATGAAGGCCTGGGGAGGGAATGGGAGCGAGGTGGAAGGGGTCAATTGGGAGGAAAAAACGGGACACCTATAATACTTTCAACAATAAAGATAAATTAAAAAAAAAGAACTAGAGTGTGCCCTGGCTGGTGTGGTTCAATTGGTTGAGCGTCGTCCCATGCCTGTTCAATTCCCAGTCAGGGCACATGCACAGGTTGTGCAGACTTGATCCCCAGTAGGGGGCATGCAGGAGGCAGCCGATTGATGTTTCTCTCTCATCATGTTTCTCCCTCCCTCTCTTTAAAAAGTCAATAAAAACATATTATTAAAAAAAACACACAAGTGCTAGAGTGTTTGTTTGTCTTGGGGGGACAGTGTTTCTCACCCTTAGCACTACTGACATTTTGGGCCATGTAATTCTTTGTTGTGGGGGCTGCGCTGTGCATTGTAGGATGTGAAGCTCTACCCACAAGATACCACTAGCACCCCAACCCAGGTTTTGCCAACCAAAAATGTCTCCAGATAATTGCCAATGTCCCCCAGTTGAGAACTACTGTTCTAGGAGCTCAAAATCTAGTTAAGAGATAACCCAAGAGTTATGTATGCTAGCCCAGGCCTTTCCCTTTTTTAGCACTGAAAGTACTGCATCTCAGAAAACTGCTCAGTCCCAGGCAAACTGAGGTTGGTCACCCCAGATAGCATGAAGTACAATGCACCAAGAGCCAAATTTTGAGTTCAGCTTGGGCTACAGTAGTGAGGGAAGGCCTTTGGAAATGAGCGGGGAGTGGGGGATAGGAGCTGAGTTGTTTTAAATGTATTGTAGAGGAGAGTATTTATAAGTAAAAGCAGGATGTGTCAGTGCCACAATAAAAACAACAGCAACAGCTGATCGAGATTGGAGGGTTGTTCTGATTTCATACAGCTGAAAGCCTATTCTGTGCTAAGCACTGGGGACACACAAAAAGGTCAAGGAGACAGGTCCATGGCCTGTGTGTGCACATGGTATAGACTCACAGGTGCCAAGGGCTATACGTGACATATGAACAGGGTGCTATGGGATGTCCAGGTAGAAGGAATCAGTTCTGTGAGTGCAAGAATCCCTAAAGGAACAGGCATGCAAGCAGAGAAAACACCAAAAAACAAAACAACTGGTAGGCTTGGGTAAAATAGTTACTTGTGCCTCAAAAGTAGCAAGGGAAATGTGTAGAGACAGAATCAGAAGAGTTCTGGGGTCACCTGGAGGAGCTGGGGCTTCATCATGTGTGCCACATAAGCTCATAGCTGAGAGTTCATTCTGCCTTGTTTTTCACTATATTGATTCTCCAATCTGAAGGTGACTACACCCACCAAAGTCATTTCCTGAACTCTCCTTAGTTAGCACAAGGTTGGGCACAGGGCAGGTATTTATGTTAAGATCTACTAATTAAGAGCTCCTGGCATCAGGCCTGTGGAGGACAGGGAGGATCCCCTTCTCTTTTCCTGCTATCTAGCTCCAAAGTACAAATCCATCCATGGCTGGGGGGTGGGGCAGCTGTCAAGCTGGGGAAATCTCAGAATGCCTGGCTGAAAGACATCCTAATTGTCTTCCAGGCCAATCTGTCTCCAGCCATCTAAAGAAGATGGCCATTTACAAAACATCCTTCAACCTAGGGCCCTACTCCACAAAGACTAAGAAAAAAATGCTAAGTCACCAACAGGCCACCTAAGTTGGGCCTGCTTTAGTGTTCCACTTGAGCAAAGGGGTTGAGAACCCTGTCCCCACAGCCCAGTGTCTGTGCCGGGGACCCAGGACAGAATATTGCCCCCAGGCCTACAATGACACCTACCTTGCTGGGAGATCCGCTTTACCAACAAGTTGAGCTGCTCTACCACCACCTTCTTCTCGCTCTTCATCAGGTGGGAGAAACAGCTCTGCAGAGCAGAGGCCACGGCCTGGGAGTCATGGCTTACGCTCTGCTTCAGCTGTGTTGTTGCATTGTCTCCAATTAGGAACTGGAACTCAGGGACCTCTGCAGGAAAGCCAGGCCAGGGCCCGTATCAGGAATGGCAAGATGGAACCCATAGAAGTGGGAAGTTGCAGGAGGCCTACCCATCCCATTCCTAACCAAGAAGTCAAGAGATGCTAAGCAAATTACAGTGAAAACCAATTGCTCACCACCATCCCTCAGCAACCATACCTAAGCCTGGTCTCATGGGATTATCCCAGTGGATTCAAGAATTCATGAGGCCAACTAGCCTGTCAGTTCCTATGACATTCAACCTCTGTTCTTGGCCACTGTTCCAGGTCAGCCCTGGGTTGCCCATTTATTCTAGGCCCAATATGCATGCTGTCAGCATTTTGCTCAACCTTACTTGTCAGAAAGGTCACAATTTCCTCAACTGGCCGGAAGCCACATAAGCCCTGAAAGGAGGTGAGGGCAATGGCGATTTCTGGCTTATGGTTGGCATCAGGGTAGTGCTGTGGAGCCTGGAGATGCAGCTTCTCTGCCAGCTCCTGTGGGATGGCCAGGGGAAGAGGAGAATTAACAAGGTGCAGCCATCACCTAGCAGGACACCAGTCCCACCCAGGCCTCACTCCCTCCCCTCCCCAGTCGCCAAACAGCAGTAGCTTCCCACTTCTAGTAATAAGCCATCAAGGCATAATGCAGAAATTCCAGGTTCAACCAACCCAGGGCAGGGACAAGAGCCAAATCTAGGGAAGAACTAGGGCAGACTTTAAGAGGCCTGGACTATGAATCAGGAAACACCAAATCATACTCTGACACTAACAAGTTGTGTGACTTTGGGTAAATCCTTCACTTCTATGGGTCTTACTTGACTCATCTAGAAATGAGGAGTTTGGACAGATAAATGCTTATGATGTGACTCATGAGCTTGTTGCAGAAAGACACCCTGGAGGTGGAGCTGAGGCAACAGCTAGGGTACCTGCCCTGCCTGAAAGGTGAACACTCTAAAAGAACCAAGTAGGAAGATGCCAGATATGAAGAGTCCTGGGCTGGGTGAAGGGAGCCCAGCAAGAAGCTTGGAGAAATTCCCCAGGCACAGGCTGGTCAGCTGTTGACTTAAACTTAGCTGCCAATATGTGTCACAAGCATTTGGCCCTGCCTATCTAAACTGGGAATTGTCAGGCCTGGATTTAGCTTTAAGCTGAAGCCTGGCATGGGTGGGGTAAAAGCAGCAGTAAAAGTTGTAAGAGGGCTTTAAAAATAAGCTCTTCTCTACCCTGATTGTATCCCACTCTGATCCTATACCTTGTTAGGGTGTGCCTGGATGGAGAGGGCTGTCTCAACTGAGAGCACTTTGAAGAGGAAGGGCAGCTTGCCATGAAAGGTGTCCTTGACCTTTGAGCCCAAGCAGTCCTGGTTCTCAGCGATCCACTGGCCTAAGGTCTTCTGTGAGATATGACTGTCAAGAATCTTGGCATCTCCCCGGGGGTGGGTTCCCATCCACAGCTAGAAAAACAGGAAATTCAGGAGGAAAAGCAGGAAAACCTAGCACCACCAGTTTGCCTGCCCCAATCCCAGTTACCCTGTGTTCTCCATAGGGCAGCTGAGTCCCAAGACAGGCCTCCCAGGACTGAGTATAAATGTTCATGCCATCACGGACCTAAAGGGAGGCAGCAGACCCCAGAATACCCAGAGTCAGGAGACCCAGGCTCTATTTCAGGCTCTGCCTCTAACCAGCTATGAAGGCTCAGACTAGTTATTTCCTGTCTCTGGGTCTCAGTTTCTTCACCTGTCCAACAAGGAGAATGACACCTGCACTGTCAAGGTCACTGAAAATCTCTGACTCTCAAATAGCTCTGTGAGGTGTTAGCATTCATTTATGCCAGCCTCTATGTTTTGGCTTTTTCTCTACTAAATGGGCAGGAGGCCCAGCCGGGCGTGGCTCAGCGGTTGAGCATTGACCTAGGATCCAGGCGATCGGGGTTCGATTCCCGGTCAGGGTACATGCCAAGGTTGCGGGCTGCAGTTGATCAATGACTCTCTCGTCATTGATGTTTCTATCTCTGTCTCTCCATCTCCCTTCCTCTCTCTGAAATCAATAAAGATATATTAAAAAAATAAAAAAATTTAAAAAAATGGGCAGGAGAAAGATACATTATTTTAGACTTAAAAATGTAAGTTAAGGCTGGGTAGCTCAGTTGGTTAGAGCATTGTCCTGATACACCAAGGTTGTGGGTTCATTCAATCCCTGGTCAGGGCACATATAAGAAGAAACCAATAAATGTATAAATAAGCGGAACAACAAATCAATGTTTCTCTCTCTCTCTCTCTCTCTCTCAAATCAATCAATAAAATTTTTTTTTAATCCTCACCTGAGGATATTTTTTTCCCTATTGATTTTTTAGACAGTGTGGAATGGAGGGAGGGAGGGGGGAGAGAGAGAAACATTGATGTGAGAGAGACACGTTGATTGGTTGCCTCCTGCATGCGCCCCAAACAGGGCTGGGGATTCAACCTGCAACCCAGGTACAGTGCCCTTGACTGGGAATCGAATTCACCACCCTTTGGTGCACAGGCCAATGCTCTAACCACTGAACCATAGTGGCCAGGGCAATAAATAGAATTTAAAAATAAAAGTGTGAAAGTTAGTCAAAGTAAAATTTTTCTTTTTAAATATATCTTTATTGACTTCAGAGAGAGGAAGGGAGAGGGAGAGAGAAAGAAACATCAATGATGAGAGAGTCATTGGTCAGCTGCCTCTTGCATGGCCCCAACTGGGACTGGGCCCGCAACCCGGGCATGTGCCCCAAGCAGGAATTGAACGGTGATCTCCTGATCCTAGGTAGAGGATCAACTGCTGAGCAACACCCTGCTGGGCTCAAAGTAAAAATTTTAATTGTCAAAGAAGACTGAATTAAAATTCAGTAAGTGCTAAGAGTTCTTTGAGGAAGAAGGTACTGGAAATCCCAGCCTATTATGAGAAAACCTTTCTTCTTTGGGTGCCACCATCTGGGTTCAACAACCTGCACTGATCTAAGAGGCTAGAGGGCCTCCTTCTTTACAGTTTCCCCCTCCCAGGTGATCCCGGTGCCTTACCTCAGGCCCTTTGAATTTAAGAGTCTTTTGGTCTCACCTGCTGGTAAAGCGGGTTCTCACCTCTGCATATGGCTTGTCCTCTGAGATCCGGGCCAGTGGGTCACTGCTGGCCAGCAGCCGAGCCACTTCACTGTTGGAACCCATCTTCCCCCAGGCATACTGCTGCACCACACAGGAAAGTGGGAATACTGCGGGCACAGACAGAGGGTCAGCTTCCACTCCACCCCTGAGGCCTGACTCTATTGTCCCGGGGAACTTGACACGAGCTGAGAGTTTTGTCTGAGGGACAAAGTAAAATCAGGGGTTTGTAGGTTGTTAGCTGAGACCCTTCTCCTCTGCAGGCCCCAATGTTCCCATCTATAAAACGGGCAGTAAGGATCTTCTGCTGACGTGAGGCAGATAGCTGCACTGAGCTGACCGGGAGGGAGCGGGAGGAACCTTTTCCACCGCCCGCCGTCAGGAAGACCCTTGAGAGGCCCCTTCCACCGAGACCTTCCTAGAGGGCTGCAGTAACGGCTCAGTCCCCAGCGCAGGGCCCCTTCCCCTGCCCCACACCCATCCATCTGCCCGCGAAGTCCCGAGGGTGGGTTCGACTAGCATAACAAGTCAGGAAGGGTCCCTAAGACGCGACCCACACCCTCGCCTGTTCTCTGGCGCAAAGCCCACCTCGCTGAGCCGCCATCCTCGCGGCACCGGACCGGCTTCCTGCACGGGTGCCCTTCCCGGCAGCACCTCTGGCCCCTCTGCGCCCAGAGCTTCATGGGAAACGTAGTTCCTCAAGCGCCAGAGCCTGAGCCACCCGGGAACGCCAAGCAGCCATTCCTGCACTTTTATGGTTTTTTTTACTTTTAATTATTTTATTTTATTTTTTTAAATATGTCTTTATTGATTTCAGAGAGAGGAAGGGAGAGATAGAACATCAATGATGAAAGAGAGTCATTGATCAGCTGCCTCCTGCACGCCCCCTCCTGGCGGTTGAGCCGGAAACCAGGGCATGTGCCCTGACCAGAATCAAACCTTGACTTGGTTCATGGTTCAAAGCTCAACCACTGAGCCACACTCGCTAGGCCAATACCCTACTCTTGAATCCTTCTCCCACCCTCTAGCAACCTGGAGATGCCCCCACCAGCTCAGAGGCTTCCAGCCCGCAATCCTTAGATCTCAGTATTCTTTCCATCCTCCACTGGACACATTTATCAAGACTCTGCTAAATGCCAGGACTAATCTAAGGGCTGGAGATACATCAGGGGACAAGATACTGATCCCTTTGTCTTTGTAGAGCTTACATTCTTGTGAGGGGAAGGCAGGCAAACAAGTATAATAAATAAATAAATCATATAGTATGCTGAAAAATAAATGCAACAAAAAGGGGTGGGTGGCAGTTTGCGGAATTTAAAATGTTGTCTAGCCTGGCCAGGTGTGGCTCAGTGGTTGAGCGTCAGCCTAGGATCCAAGAGATTGTGGTTCGATTCCCGGTAGAGCACATGCCCGGGTTGTGGGCTTGATCCCCAGTTGGGGGCATGCAGGAGGCAGCCAATCAATGACTCTCTCATCATTGATGTTTCTATCTATCTCTCTCCCTTCCTCTCTCTGAAATCAATAAAGATATATTTTTTAAAAATAAATAAACATAAAATAAATATAAAATAAAATGTTGTCTAGGTAAGCCTCATTGAGAAGCTGACATTTAAGCACAGTCTTGGAGGTGAGAAGGAGAATGTGTTCTGGGCAAAAGAAACAGCTAGAAGGAAGGCCCTAAGGTGGGAACTTGGGAACACGCCTGTTGTGTTCTGGAGTAAATAGCAAAGAGGCCAGTGTGGCTGGAGCTGAGTGAACAGGAGAGGGGTGATTAGGAGGAAAGGCAGTGAGCAGAACTTTGGAGGTCACTGTGAAGACTTCAGGTTTTACTCTGAGTATCGAAGTCGTTAGTAGGTTTGAACAAAGAATTCCTGTGATCTAAGCAGGGACTAGCTGATGCTTGATTATGATGGCAAATGTCATATGCAAGTCCCTTAACATGTCTGAACTTCACTTTCTTCCTCTGTAAAATGGGCTAATAATGCCAGCCTGACAGGATTGTTGTAGGGTCAGATGAGATGATATGGGATGCAGGAAGGCAGTCAGTGCTGGGAGCTCCTTTCATCCTCCTTGCCCTAAGTACTGCAAGACTCAGAACCTGAGCCCCTCCTCCAGGCTGAGATGCTCACAAGTCACAACACACAGAAGTCAAGGAGAGTCACCAGGACCCCTGCATGGCAAAGACTGGGCTGGGCCTTGGATGTGGAATAATCTTGCTATATCCTGTGGAGAAAGGCTCTGACCTCCTCAGTCAACAGCCCAGGAAGAGGGCAGCCAGATGGAGGGGCCCAAGAACACAGCCACCAAAGCTCCAGGGAACCTTGTGTGAGGGGCTACAGTACTAACCTGGCCTCCCTTTCTCCTTCCCCAATACTGATTTCCACAACCTCTACAACACATGCCCAGGAAAAGAGGAGATACTGTTTTCTCTGATATGTCCAGCTGTAAACATCAACCTCCCCTGGGGTCCCCTGGCTCAGATAAATTAGCCTGCATTTCAAGGGAAGCTTCACCATAAACTAAGGAATGATAAAATGGAAAACACAAGAATCATACAAACAACACATCTCACATACCTCCTACCTTTAAATCTCTCTCCTTCCCCTTGTCCCCATTCCTCCAGCCATATGAACCTTCTGGAAGAAGAATAAGGGATTAGTTTAGGCACTGGGGGTTCTTAGAGCACCTCCCACTACGACCACCACTGAAGCCAGTTAGAGTCACTTCCTCATAGTATCTCTACAGGGAGGGAAGAACTTAGATTGTTGGGGCAGAGCCTCCACCCCATGCCATCCTCCCTACACACAGAAAAATATATCTGTAAGGGAAACTAGGGTGTTTAGAGAACTTAGAACCTTTCACCCTTACTTCTTGCTTGTCCATTTCTAGCAGAACTGATCACACTTTATTATCCAGTGATGATCTGCTTTCCTCCCTCTCTCTTCTCTACTAGACCATATGTCTAATGCAGCATCATATATCTGCTAGTGCCCAGCTGAGGGCTCAAGCTATAATAGCAGCTAACATTTATTGTTTGTTTTGTACTAAATCCTGTACTAAGCCCCTTTCAAGAATTCTCTTGCTTCACTCTCAAGACAATCCTATGGGATAGGTACTGTCATGAGCCCCTTTTTTTAGAGATGAGAAAAATGGGTTTTGGAGAGATGAAGTAACTGGTCTAAGAGCATAGAGTTTTCGTCTGCTATACCTCCTCCCTTGTTGAATATGTGCATGAATAAATAAATGCATGATGTCTCTGGACAGATCCCAGGAGTCTTCAGAGACAGATGAGTGGGCCAGCTCTACACTGGTGATATCAAGTTCCATTCTTTCTTCACCACTGTACTAGGTCAGGCAGATGAGGAGGCAGGACAGCCTCATGTTGTATACTGTTCTCTCAGGCTGCAGACAGCAAAGATCTCTGTATGCTGCCGGTGATATTATGATATAATAACCAGCTCCTGTCCAGAACTCCTAAAACCTTTGTAATTTTCTAAGCAATAAAGGTGGTAGGGACATCTTTTGTTCTAATATTTAGTCTTTGACCATGGTTTCTGATGCAGAGTTCCTAAATCCTTTGGAACTTCCTAGACTATCAGAGCACTTTCTGTCCTAAAAAGGCAACTCTTGATGGGCTCCTGAATAGCCTCAGGATGTGGCTCTTCACCAGAAAGAACAAGCCTTGATTAGAAGCTTGAAACTTTCCACCCCACCTTCCACCTTCCAGGAGGGATGAGGGGAAAGATTAAGTTAATTATCAATCATGATCACACCTATGTGATGAAGTCTCTCTTTGGAAAGCTTCCAGGTTGGTGAATACATCCACATGTCAGAAGTGTGGTATACCCCAAACCCACGGGCACAGAAGCTCCTGCACTCAGGACCCAGACCTCACCCTATGTATCTTCAACTAGCTGTTCATCTGCATCCTTTGTCATACCCTTTACTATATAAGAAGCCAGTAAATGTGTTTACCTGAGTTCTGGAAGCCATTCTAACAAATTACTGAACCTGATGAGGGGGTTGTAGGAACCCTGATTTATAGAAGTACAGGTGACTTGTAGAAGTACAATCTGAGACTTGCAATTGCCATCTGAGACTTGCAATTGCCATCTGAAGTGGCGGCAATTGCCTGGCCGGCGTGGCTCAGCGGTTGAGCATTGACCTATGATCCAGGAGCTTACAGTTTGATTCCTGGTCTGGGTACATGCCTGGGTTGCAGGCTTAATTCCCAGTAGGGGGCGTGCAGAAGTCAGCTGATCAAAGACTCTCATCATTAATGTTTCTATCTCTCCTTCTCCCTTCCTCTCTCTGAAATCAATAAAATATATATATTTTTTGAAGTGGGGGCAATCTTGTGGGACTGAGCCCTTAACTTGTGGGATCTGATGCTAACTCCAGGTAGATAGTGTCAGAAATGAATTAAATGACATCCAACTGATGTCAGAGAATTGGTTAGTGTGGCGAAAATGAAACAAAACCTGTGTCTGGTCACATAAGTGTTCTGTATGAGTAGTAAAAGAGAAACACAAGAGTTTTTCCTTACACTGCCCTTGGATGGGTGGCTGTGGGGGGTTAGGAGTAGGTAGTTTCTAAGGGGACACACATAAGGATCCCTTTCCTTTCCATTCTCCCACTTGAGGACATTTCCTGGAGAAAAGTTGAGCTGGTCTCTAAAGAGTAGTTGGGAATTAGCCAAGGGAAAGGAAGGCAAGAGAAGTGAATGAGGGAAATAGCAAATACAACATGAACAAAAGACCAATGAGCAGCCCTGTACTAGTCCAGGGTAAGGAATGGTAGTGGCTAGATTCGGTGGTAGCAGAGATGAACAAAGCCAGAGGTGAATAAATAAGGAAGGTAGTTTGTGGGGAGTGCAGCCATCTCTCCCATGGGGGCTGAGGGCTGTATTGCTGAACTCCTTCATTCCCTTAACAAATGCTTGACACTCAGGTTCAAATCCCAAATTAGGCCCTAAACCTGTATGGGCATCAAGAGGCAAGGCCTAAAAGAAGCAGAGCTCAGCTAGTGAGAGGACAGCTGCATGGTCGGCTCTTCAGAAGGGAGCCCCTCTGCTCGGCCCCTACCACCAGAACACTCCCGCGTAAAAGTAGGCTCACACTCCAGTTCCCTGCCTGGACCAGTGGTGCTTCCCAAACTTGCTCTCCAGGGAAGTGAAGGGGTTACGTTTCTGGCTCCCCTTTGGGGAGTTTCCAAACACAAATCTGGCTGCTGTCAGACCGAGAGGCCGTTGAGAACGGCTTCGACACCCCCTACTCCCTCCCCGCTCCCCAGCCCCCAAATCTCTGGCTCCTTTGCTCCCGGACGCCGTCGAACCCGGAAGCACAGGTACAGATAAGAAACCCTGGGAAAGGAGTGAGCGCTGCGCAGGAGGGCGGAGCGGACCTCTGTTACGTACAGATTCACGTCCCTTGGGGCGGGCGCTGCGCCTGCGTCAGAACGGCCGTCTCGTTCCCGGAAGTGGTGGGGTCTGCCTGGAGAGAGCCGCTGGGTCTCGGTGCCCGGAGGCAGAAGCGCTCTCGGAGCTCGTCTGTCGGCCTCCGACTGCCATGTCGGCCTTCGAGACCAATCCCTTCGCGGACCCAATGGACGTAAACCCCTTCCAGGTAGAGCTTCAAACACACAGTTCTCTCTAGTGCCAAAGGCCGTCGGCCGGGTCTTTTTCTCCAGGGCCCGAAGACGTGGCGTAGGAGGGACGGGCTGACTGCCCAATGGGAGAGCGGGCTCTGAAGGCTGGCCTATCGTAGCGTCTAAGGGGCGGGACTTGAAGCAGGTGGCCCGATTGAGGGCCTGGGCTCTGCAGCCTGGGAAGAAGTGGGACTCTCTAACTGCCCCGACAAACACCCTGTTACCGGGTACTGCTGGGGAAGGGGACTGGAGCAGACTGGAGATTCCCTCAGCATCAGAGAGAGTAATGACTTCACCTGAGGGGAAGTGTGACAACCACAATCCTGCAGTCTTGGTTTGAGTCACATTAGGAGAGGGATGACAGCAGCATAATGAAGAAGTGGAAGCCTTCATGGATGGAGAAATGTGGAAATCCCTAGACAACCCCATCCCCTCTCCCCCAACAGCCAAACTAGCATATAAGGTATAAGAGGACCCCTGAGATTTTTCAGGAAAGGAAAGCTGGAGAGAGGGTGAGAAGCTGAAATATGGCCTTGATAAGAATTACACACTTTGGCCATGGGTCTACTTTGGACTGGATTGGCTAGTTAGGAGAGCCCAGGTTAGGTAGGGAAGAGAAGTGAGAGGGCTCTGAGGGTTTTGAAGCACAAGGAATGTTGGTCTGATGGACCTGTATGTGGTGGCAGGGTAGATGAGATGCGCTGACCTATGAGCTGGCCTCACATTTTAAACAAATGATGGAGGAAGAAACAGTCTTCCTACTTAAAGCCAAAACCTTTCTGCCTTTGAGCTAAGGGCACAGGGGCATTCTTTTTCCGTGATGAATGGCTGGGAACTTCTGTTAGCGCCCAAGCTCCTGTGTCTCTTGTTTTATGTCTGTTCAAAACCAGTTCTAGGAAACCTTGCTTGTGCTGACTGGTGATTTATGAACCCCTAGGTTTCTGCTCTGTCAGGATGTCGCCAGGCACATTAACCCATCCTGCTTGGACTTCGGTCATTGACAGCTGCAAAGTTTCCTGCAGTTGGAGGGGAAATCCTTAGAGGGGTCCTTCCTGCCATTCACAGCTTGCGCTTTCCCACCTTGAATCTCCTCAAGGGCCAAAGCCAAGACAAAAGACACTAGAACAAAATTACTATACGATGTCAGGAGAGTGAAAAGTTTATGCTTCTTTCTTGGTCTCAAGATGACAGCCAACAGGAGCCCTCAAGGCACATTTTGGTAGCTTGTTCTTTGTAACATCAGAGAATTCTTGTAGCTTAATGCTTCTTGACAGGACCTTTGCAAGGACCTTGTCTCATGTAATTCAGTCATCTCTGTTAGTTGAGTGAAGAAAGAACATTTGCGTTTTATCTGCCAGTGTCTTCTGGTAACTGTTTTGCTTTAATTACAAAACTGCAGTATAATACTGGAGTTTGAGGTTTAGTAAGGATCTAGTAGCTTTTTGTTTTGTGTACTGTGTAATCATTTACTTTTTTTTTTGTCCTGTCAGAATCAGAAATAAAATGTCTGCTGCTACCTGACAGAGGTGGTCAGCTGTCCAAAGATACAGAGAGCTTATCCCCAATGCTAGCAGTGGGCAAGATAGTTGGCCTGAGTTCAGCCCTGTATTAATAGTAGCTTGAAAGTCTTAAACTACATCTCCAGCCCTAGAAATGATTGTGCAAACTGTGGTAGAAGAAACTTCTGCATTCAAGCAAGACATTCTGTCCATCAGGCAATCCCAGGATATGGCAGGACAGGAAACAGCTGTGAGCCTGTGAAGAGCAACAAAACATCTGGTGGGGAATCCAGTGTAGGAAGAAGAGAGTTGGCTGGCTACGATTCTTCTCCTTACTCTGGGCTGGTTTTTCCTCTTGGTGCACAGTTGTGTGGGGAGAAGGAGCTTGGAAGTGAGGCCCCCAAGCTCCTGGAGAGCTGCCCTCTCTCTCCTTGTGAGGACAGTGTCTGGTTCCCTGACTGCCAGGACTGGAACATTGGGAGGGTGCAGCCTTTGGGTGACTGGGTGTGAGCCCAGCTTCATTTACTCAGGGTGTTGGCACAGAACTCAGGAGAGAGGCGATAGGCTCAGAAACTGTCACACTTAGCCAGCCTTCAGAACAGAGTCCTTTTTCCATCACTTGATGGTGGGTTGTGAAAATATATTTAGCGTTCAGAGTCCATGGTGGGCTCTTAAAGCTGGGACCATCTTCAGAAGTCTATTCTAACCCTTTCAGTTTAGAGATGAGAAAACCAGGAACCCAGTGAGGATGGGACATGCCTAAGTCACCGGCTAATTTGCAGCAGAAAGGGGCCCAGACCTGGGTCTCATTCCCAGAACAGTACTGTTTTAAAGGTTTTTGAAGCTCAGATGTTATCTTAAACTGCTCTGGGTTATTTAGGCCAGCTAAGGAAAAAAATGTTATGTCATCACTACCACCACCATTCTTAAAATGAGAGTACTGATAGGGGTGAAAGTAACAAATTTGTATTAGCTAAGCTATTCCCCCCCCCAGTGTGGGGTTGGAATAGTTGCTTACGTTTTTTAAGACAGTACTTTAAAGTAGTGTATGTTCTGAGTAATACCAGTCCTGAAAGGTGCTCAGGGTTCTGCATTCAAATAAGTTTTTGAGAATCACTACTTATTCCTTTTTTTTTTTTTAAGATTGATAAGGCTTGTTAATTTGTTGAAGAAAGGAGCTAAGAAATCCTACAGTAAAGACATTTACTCAACTTTATTTTACCCAACATTTCTCAGAGTTATTATTAACTTTTGTAATACCCTATGAAACTCCCAGTGCACTTTTAAGTTGACTTCCTTACCCATGTTCTTTCCAGTCCCTACTCCCACCCCTGTCCCACACTGTGGGTGTGGCCTTTTATGCCCTATTCCTTGCGTACAGTTATAATTGGGATTATTAGAAAACTTCCTGCAAAGTAAGAGCCGTGAAAGGAAAGTTATCATAAAAGTGTAGCTGAGGGCAGTAGACGGTTTGCTCAGTGGTTAGATAGAGCATTGGCCTGCGGAATGAAGGGTCCTGGGTTCGATTCCAGCCAAGGGTATGTACCTTGGTTGCAGGCTCGATTCCCAGCCTCAGTTGGGGCGCATGCGGGAGGCAACCAATTGATGTGTTTCTCAGCAATGTTTTTTTCTCTCTCTCCCTTCCATTCTCTCTGAAAAGCAATGGAAAAAATATCCTCCAGTGAGGGTTAAACGAAAAGGTGCAGCTGAAGGTTTGTCAGACTTGTAGGAGGAAGCAGGAAACTGCAAGACAAGTGTTGCTGATTATACAACCTCCAGTGGCACTCCCTAACCCCTCTATTAATGATGATGTATCTGCTTTGTACCCTCTGGAGATGCAGGTCCTACTTTGGACTGATTCAGCATGTCTGCTTCTAAAAATTTCTCAGTCTTGTCGGGTGATGAGGCGGTAAAGGGCTAAAAAGATAGGCATTGTACTGTTCATTTGATTTTTCAGCAGTCCAGTAACAAGCAGGTCACCCAGACAAACACCAGGGTTACTTTCCTCCTCAGTATTTCTGCCAGTTACCCCGGTGGCCCACATTGATCTCAAAGGGGAGTGGACCAGCTGGTGGTTCTGTTTAGAGAAAGCCTTTAAGTCTTCGTGAGTTTCCAAATCACATAATTTATCACTTTCACATGTTGCCTCTTTGCAGTTAAAAAGATAATCTCAGTGGCGTGGCTACTTCCCAAGGATTTAAAACATTTCTCTCCTATGGGAGGAAGTGGTGGCAGAAACGTGATTTGGGTGTAAACAAAGTTACCCGAGGTTCTCTGCACAGACACTGATAGCTTTGCCACTTCCCAGAGAGGGTGGGCTCTAGCTTGACTCTAACTTGGGAATTCTTAAAACCACTGAGTGGACCTGGTAGGGCAGGAGCATTATCTCAAGAAATTTGTCTCATACATTTAGAGGTGTCCTGGAGTTCTGTCCTTGACTTTGTTCTCACTGAATACCTCTATGAGTAATTTCTTTCACTTACATGGCTTCAGAATAGCATTCACGTAACAACGATCCCAGATCTAGAACTATGTCTAACCCTCACCTATCTTCTGAGCTTCAAGGCAGTATTCAGCTCTCACCTGGACATTTCCAACCATTCCAACCAGATAGATTCCATATGTATCTCCAGTTTAATCTAGTGTCTTCTCAGATCCTCTTCCTGCTTGCACACACCCACTCCTGAAAAACCTGTTCCTCTTGTCCCATGATCAGTGGTCGCCTGTTCCCCAGTTACCCAAGCTGGCAGTTCAACTCCTTCCTTTCCCTTCCCTGCCCCCCCCCCCC